TTTAGTATCGAATTAAATAGACAAAGTTTGCCCTCCTCCACATTGAAAACGCCCCATTTCCAAGATTTCTCGCAAATAAAATATTTGTAGTTTGAGATGAGATTAAACTATTTATGAAGTTTCAGGTGGATATTAATAATTCAGTTAACGAATCGGAAGCAGTGAAGACTTTGTAAGTAATGCTTTTATTCATAATGTCTGTTACAAATGGCATCTAACATACAAATTAATATACTAGGGATATATGAGTTCACTACCTGAGTTCATTCCAGGTCTCCTATAGTGAAGAGTGTGACTTCAAGAATGTAACTGCATGGGTGATTACTCCAGAGGATCATGGGGTTTATATACCCAAGAATAGCAAAGGGGTGAAGGGAAGTCCGAGGAGGACTCCAAAGGAAGTTATCGATAGTTAATATTCTTAAGATGAGGTCTGTAAGAAAGTGTTATTGTTCCCTAAGTCTTGATAATGGTTCTTGTGTCCAGTCGGTACATTCCAGATAAATATTTCTAAGCTGTCAGAGATAGCTTGACCTGGCTATATAGAGATAGCTTTGAGCTTTTATCCTTCGAGTAATTGAAGTGTCAATATAATACATGATTCTCCAATTGGCACATTTAACAAACTCATTTATTAAAATAAAATTTAAATTAATACTATTATTATTATTATTTGTTATGAATTAAGTCCATTCCGTAACTATTCAATATAAAGGGTCTGTACCACACACTATACAGTTTAAGGGATCCTGAAATAGTGAATAGAAAATAGTAAAAACAAATTTTTATGAACCATAAAACTATGAAATAGTTAAGAACATCTGTTTTGGTATCGAGTAATTTTTTTTTTTTTGTCTCAAAGCTGTAAATCAATAAGACATATTTTTTTCCGAACGAAATTTGGAAAGAGGCGGAGGGGGCGAAGAGGATACAAAGAAAAAGTGGCTAAAAGAAAGAAGATCTATCCAGGATGGCCGGAGGAGCAGGTCCTTGGATTATTCTTTTTATCCTTTGGACAAAACCTCCTTTTGAATTTGGAAGGGAGGGGGGCCGGGAAGAATGATATATGGCCACGAGAGAAGAGAGTGACAAATGAATGGAATGGCCTACTCATTAACAAACTGTTCTATAGTGCTCTCTGTCTTCGACCCCAGCGCCTTCTGTCGCTCGTCCCTTGTACTACCGCTGAGGGCCCTGTAGTTAACGGATCTGCCATCTTCAAGAGTTTATGATGAATTTACTACTTCAGCACATTATATAACTATACATAAACATATTATATGCATATACATTATATATATATTTACATATATATATATATATATATATATATATATATATATATATATATATTTAGTAAGTATTCTTTTAGCTATAGGGCCATAATTTGACAAATTTGGAAAAAGATCCAAGCTTTTTGACGGTGGCTATCGACCACGATTGAAGCACAATTAATAGTTCTTTGTTTCTTTAACAGTATGTTTTTTGCTTCGATGTACCGTTTAGGAGTTACAGGTAAAAAACGAAAAAAAATCTTTTTGGCTAAAAAAAGTTTTTCCTAGGTGGTCCGCGCCAGAAATTTTTGTTTTTTTTATATTTTTGAACTCTTACATACATGTTAAAAAATAAAAACTGTTCTCAAATTTTTGGTCATAAATTTTCCGTTTCCACCCTAAAGTTTCTAGTTTAATATTCTTTAAATCAGCCTCTATTTTTTTTTAGATAGCAGACTCCTACCGGCTAGAGTCGATTAATTAAAAAAAATTTATATGTGGTTTGAAATATCTCAGAAACTAAAAATCGGGACTGCATACTGCAAGCAAGAAAATTGTTCAACATTTCATCCTCTTTGTAATGGACTATTTTCAAAATTTTATCTTAACGCGATGCCGCGTTTGAGAGGCGAAAAGGACAAAAATAGTGTCGAAAACTAAATGATGACGAGTTTTATTAACGTTGTGGATTAAAATATCTCAGAAACGAGAAATCGGACCTGCATATTATTGGAATAGAATAGAATAGAAAATAATTTTATTCTGGGACAAAGTACATTTAGAATAACAAAAAGTACAAAATGAAAATATTATATTTAGCCTAAATAAAAACAAACATAAAAAGTAAAAATAAAGAGAAATAGTTTAAAAAAATATTAGTTAAACATACTATATACAAAATAAATAAAAAAATCTATATACCATACCATGACACTCAAAACTATGTACAGTGGTAAAACATAAATATACACTTTTAGAAAAATTGTTTAGAAAACATCAAATTGTTAGCTTGGGAAATGTTCATGATTCCTTCCTCTTTGTGATCAGCAATTATTTAAAATTGTGTCTAAACGCGACACCGTGTTAGAGAGGCGAAAAGGGGCAAAATAGTGTCGAAAACCAAATGATAAGGAGTTTTATTGATTACAGTATCTCAGAAACCAAAAATCTGCATACTTTAAGCAAGGAAAATGTTCAGCATTTCATCCTATTTATAATGAGTTATTATTTATAATTTTATTTCATGTTATTAATCTTCTCTTTTTGATGTTTTCTGTGTTATGGTGTAGTCTAAAGCACATATCTTAATTTTTTTATTTAAAAATGAGTTGCGGTAGCGAAGTAAAAAATATCCCATTTTTACTTTCCTGCGTATATAAGGTAAGTATTGCAATCGGGTCAAATTTCCGATATGCGGTTTTCGACCGATCTATACGTTTCAGAGCCCCGATCTAAAGGTAGCCTGCCTTTTCAAATGTAATGAAATTCGCTACAAAAATATATAAAAATCGTTCATTTTGGACAACTATTAACGAAGTTACAGCTATTCAATTTCCATTGTAAGATTACGGGTTCATATCCTGGTCTCAGAAAGGGGTGATAGAGAGAAAAAAGATGACTAACTGAAAGTAAGAAAATCTGTTGCCCGCATCATACAGGCTTCACTAGTTCCTCTACTTTTAACGGAAAATCTTGCTTGACAATACTATGACCAAAAAAAGGATAAATAAAATAAGTTTTGATAAACATAATTTTCTATAGGAATTTTTATTTATTGGCGCCTGGCTTACCTGCCTTTCATCTCTAAAGAGATAAATCTAGAAAATATAAGGTACTTACCCATTATTTGGCCATCATTAAATATTTATTCTACCATGCTAGCTTGGTGAAAAGAGGTTAGGTTGGATATTTTTATAAAGCAGCAAAACAAATTTAACAGATCTATTTACAGAAAGAAATATTTACAGAATTAGTAAAATGTACAAGCAAAAGAAATAAAATACAAGGAAAAGGAGAGAATTTAAACTTAATTACTATATACAATTAAAGATAAATAGGAAGATATTTAAGATAATAAAGATAGTAAAAATAACAAAAAAAAAAAAAAGATACTTATTCTATATAAAATAATATGGCATGCCACATCTAAACATCAATAAAAGATAGTCAAGATAGAAAAGATATATGAGATGTAAGAGCGAGCACTTGCACTTGCTAAAAGTATCAATTAGTAATCAGGCACAGGACACAAAAGAAAGAAGAGTTCTAGTTTTTTTTTTCCCAATGTTTCCTTAATCTAGGTTACAATACTAAGCTATGGCAAAAAGTTTTTGATCAGCAATAATAGAGAGTATTGATATTTTTACACTGATCTACCTTAAGCCGGTTTACATTGCTTCAGTTTATCAAATAAATCGTACTCAGATCCTTTCTTATCAATTTCTGAAAATAAATCTAAATAAAATATAATAATAAAAATAATAATAAATAATAATAAGGCTTAGCGAACGTAAGGTCGATGCCGACACCACCAAACGCTGTTACACAGCCATCCTCCACCGTTCGCCGTCCAAACCCCAGTCCCATCAGATCGGCTTTCATCAATCTTCCCACCTTCGCTTCGTCTACCCCTCGGACCTTACCGTTTCATCACAGCAAATATTAGCCTTTTAGTGAATTCTCTCGTTACTAACGCCAACAACTTTACAAGCCCTTTTGATTCTCCGCGATGAAATAACCACTCAATTAAATTACCCGATACAGCTCAACGCAATTAGGCGTTTGTGTAACGTCTGAACTCTCCGTTACCTCATCTTCTTCGTTCCGAATATTCTACGCAATACATTATTTTCAAAATCTCAAAGACGCTGCTCATCCCTTAATGTATGCGCCAAGTTTCGCATCCATAAAGAACTGATAGGCAAATAATAGTTTTAATAGATTCTAAATTTTAAGTTTCGGACACGAGGCGCGAACTAAGTAGTTTGTCACAGAAAAAAACAAGCATTCCCCGCTTCAGACTAACTTAATCCTCTTTCCTCAACTTCGTTTTTTTCTAGTTATCGTAGAACCTAGATACCTAATTTATCTACCTGTTCAAACATATTACCATCTATATCGATATCACCAGAGTATCGCCATTTTTCAGCCAACCAATATTTTGTTTTATCCACTTTTCTTCGAGTCCTAGTTCTTTACCGGCTTTCATTAACGTTGTTCGTTTTAAGTTTTATAGTTCAACGTCCTTCGCTTAACAGTACCAAGATCATCACATAGCCCTGCACGGATGTTGTCCCGCCCAGAATCCACCCCATTCTCGTTCCATTAACCTCCCTAATGGCAATGTTCTAATGCCTAATTGAACAGACAGTCGAAAAGAGAATCCCCTGTATTTACGCCCGAACGAACCTCAAATATTCGACAAATTTTACCGATTCAACTTTAATGAGTTTCCTCCGTCAAGCACATCCTGACTAGATTTACTAGTTTTTTTGGAATCCCCTAATCAATAGGAATAAATCTAATAGGAAAATAAAAGTTCAATTCTTTTTTGTTTATTCATGAGCATATGTAAAGATATAAAAACTTTTCTTAAAAAGGTAGGAAAGTCGTGTGAGTGGACACACCAGATATTTTATACTTATTCCGATATATCCTTTTCTACTATTGGTAACTAGTTTACCATTATCTGTTATCCTTTGATCTTCAAGTATACTGTTGTTCCAGGTCCTCGGTTAAACGGGCAGCGACTGCTGGAACTCGCTGCACCAACGGAAGGAACGGAGTTGCGGGTGAAGTCTGCCGTCCTCTGGCTGAGGATGGAGCCTCGGGCCACCGTCCTCAGGAACGTCACGCTGTGGGCGTTCAGGCTGCTGGCCCAGCACCTCTCCAACGCCACTCACCTAAGTGGTAAGGTATGTCTAGCCCCAATCTCTCAATAACTATAGTCATTCAATAAATATTATATAAATAATACTAACGTTTCTTGTTAATTATAGAACCTTTAGAATATGAACTGATAGATCAAGAATAGAGTTTTTTCTAAATGTATAAACTATTGAAAAGGACATTTAATCCTCAAATTGAAAACAAACTATTTATCTACAAGTACATACCGAAATCCACCTGGTCCTTCCATATGACAAAGACTTTATGTGAACTGATGGATACATTCACATTTGCATATATTATATATTATACTACAACAATTGTTACCATCTATTTACTTTTAGCTTAGGATCTTGTTACTTAGCTTACTCTGTTTATATTTCAATGTGCCTACTGTTCATAACTTTAATAATCTTATTCACATTGGTCATATTTTTTTGTTAAATATTATGTAACTTCCTCAATTCTCTATCTGTTTGTATCTTGTCCGTTCTAGCCCTGAAGAAGACCTGCAAAGTCGGCTCGAAACGTTGGCTTTTATTGCCAATATTTAGTCTATTTATGACCACCACCCCAGACCATCTCCTTCCTTTATAATGCAACGGTCAACTATTAAATATTCAGTTATTATTAATACAAAGCATTATTTCTAAAAACATAATGATTGGTCCCTAACTACCTTCTCCTCCAAAAATTTTGGATCCAATAATGGTCCAATGGTACAAAAAAAAATAAGTAATTGGATTTTTAAAAAATTGAAGTTCCGAAAGTTCATATGCAAATTATATAGTTATTTCATTAAAAAATAAAATTTTAAAATACTAATATTTATTATAATAATATAAAGGAGGAAAACTAGCCTATAATGAGGAAAGAGTATAATAATAATGATAAACTATTCAACGTCAACCTCCATCTTGTTATCAAGCAAGCCATGCCAGGATTTTCAGAAAATATAATTTAGACTATGAAGTCAGCCCTGACAGATCATAGAGGCGGTGAAGTTTCGGCTTGAATATCAAGTGAGCAATTTAGTTTGAGGAAAAAAAGTTACGGAGAGTTGAAATATCGCAGAGGCCGTGCGCTCACTGACCTGGCTAATCTTGTTGCCTCAATTGGATAACTTACCTAAATCCAGACGTGACGTTGAACCCGGGCAGTCCAGACACCCAGATGTACTCCCAGACTGCCCCATCTGGGCGGCTAATGTATTTAGAGCGAAATTTGTATTCTTCTGTCTGGGCCGTGGCGTTTCGCCAAAAATACTCTTTCTCTAAGTCTTCCTTTTCTGTCCAATCCTCCCTCTCCCTCCCTCTCCTTATGCTCATATTTCTTTAATTTCGCCTTTTGGTTACGTTTCTTTATTCGTTTATTTTATTGCCTACAGTTTTGATGGCCCTGTTATGGACATATTATACTGAATTATACTGAATTATTATAATGAAAACAATAACTTCTATGTAAATACTAAATATCAGTCTGTAAGCGGAACTTTGTACAGTAAAATATCGTCAGTTCATTGTGAAAAGTAAATAAGTGACATCTTCCTACGTTGAATCGATAAGAATTTCAGTAATTTTTTTCTCTTTATAAAATCTTATATATAAATTTCGTGATTTTTTTAAACTGTTTCGATAAACGGTTATTGCGACTGTGATGTTGTAATATATTATCATGGGTGATAAATATTCAGGACGCAGTCTTTTTAATTTTTTTATATATGGCAACGTTTCAACCCAAACATGTGAGTCATCTTCAGGGCTGAACATTCTTTAAAAAACTTTGTATAGGAACTTTGTACAGTAAAATATTGTCGGTTTATTGCGAAAAGTCATTAAGTGACATCTTCCTACGTTGAATCGATAAGAATTTTTATAATTTTTTCCTCTTTATAAAATCTTATATATAAATTTCGTGATTTTTTTAAACTGTTTCGATAAACGGTTATTGCGACTGTGATGTTGTAATATATTATCATGGGTGATAAATATTCAGGACGCAGTCTTTTTAATTTTCTTATGTATGGCAACGTTTCAACCCAAACACGTGAGTCATCTTCAGGGCTGAACATTCTTTAAAATACTTTGTATAGGAACTTTGTACAGTAAAATATTGTAGGTTTATTGCGAAAAGTCATTAAGTGACATCTTCCTACGTTGAATCGATAAGAATTTCTATAAATTTTTCCTCTTTATAAAATCTTATATATAAATTTCGTGATTTTTTTAAACTGTTTCGATAAACGGTTATTGCGACTGTGATGTTGTAATATATTATCATGGGTGATAAATATTCAGGACGCAGTAATTTTAATTTTTTTATGTATGGCAACGTTTCAACCCAAACATGTGAGTCATCTTCAGGGCTGAACATTCTTTAAAATACTTTGTATAGGAACTTTGTACAGTAAAATATTGTCGGTTTATTGCGAAAAGTCATTAAGTGACATCTTCCTACGTTGAATCGATAAGAATTTTTATAAATTTTTCTTTTTATAAAATATTATATATAAATTTCGTGATTTTTTAAAACTGTTTAGATAAACGGTATTTTATTGCGACTGTGAAGTTATAATATATTATCAATTGTGATAAATATTCAGGACGCAGTCTTTTTATTTTTTTTATTTATGCCAACGTTTCAACCCAAACATGTGGGTCATCTTCAAGGCTGAAAATTTGTTAAAATACAATCAGAGATATAATAGTATAATGATAAATAATAAACTATAGTGATTGATGGTATATGAATCTTAACTAATATTGCAATACACATATTAAAAATGAAATTTGTAAATAGTTATACAAAATAAAAATTAAAAAAATCTGGTGAGTCCACTCACACGACTTTGCTACCTATTTCAGAAATTTTTTTATATCTTTACATATGTTCATGAAGAAACAAAAAAGAATTGAACTAGATAAATTTTCCTGAAAATTGATCTAACATAAGATTTGTGAACGATTTATTTGATAAACTAAAGCAATGTAAACCGGCTTAAGGTAGTTAATTTCTGTTAAATATAGAGGAAATATAAATTTTACCGTATAACATATACTTAGGGAGTTAGGCCCCATAACATTTTCCTTTTTTTTATAACTTTTTTTTCCTGAATTTTTTTCGGGAATTTAGTCTATATACGAAAATTGAAAGAAGGACAATGATTAGAACATTACAGGAAAGTTTCTTCAAAATCGTTAGAGCCGTTTTCGCGCTACAGTCTATAGAAAAACATGTTTTTCATTTATTGCGCGCAAGCTATTGCGCACTTAATTTCTGTCACAGGCATCAGTAGTCAAAACCCTACAAAATAAAAAAAAATCAACAAAATTGGTTCAGTAGTTCCCGAGAAAATCTTGGCACAGACAGACAGACAGACCAATGGCTAAAAATGTGTTTTTTTGACTCAGGGTGCTCTGAAACGTATAGATCCGTCGAAAACCGCATGTCGGAAATTTGACCCGATTGCAATACCTTCCTTACCTAGTATAGGTAGGGAAGTAAAAATAATGTATATAATCCATTTATACAAATTTGTAATATTTTCTCTTACTAACCGTGGTTTGAGCACTGAGTGTGTTGAAGTACAGACACATTTGATAGGTAAGTGAAAAGGTAAGGGGGGTGGATTTCCCAGTTGTCTTTTTCCAGATAACAAAATGTAGCTAAACATAGTCCGAGAGGAAGGAAGGTAACATTTCTCTTGGTAGAATGTACATAATTTTCTGACTAAATATTCTAGATGTGTACAATACTTGCGTTGTTTCTTATGGTTACAGAAATGTGAATATTGGCTAGTAATGAAATGAACATAAGCAAGAGATGCCAATCAATATAAATATAACTTAGTTTGTTTAAAAGTATACAATGGTTAGACAAATAGTTTTTATAATAAAGACAATTTCAATGGAATGAAATCATTCTACCTTTTGCTATCTGCAAAAGGACAACTGGAAAATCCTCTCTCCCTCCCCCCTGAACTTTTCACTTACCTGCCAAATGTGTCAGTACTTTAAATCCTTCAGTGCTCGAACCACGGTTAGTAAGAGAAAATATTACAAATTTGTATAAATGGATTATATGCATTATTTTTTAGTTTATATAATTATTTACATATTTCATTTTTAATTTGTGTATTGCAATATTAGTTAAGATTCATGTACCATCAATCACTATAGTTTATTATTTATCATTATCGGTCGTATACTTTTCTCTGATTGTATTTTTAAAAAAATTCAGCCCTGAAGATGACCCACATGTTTGGATTGAAACGTTGGCATAAATAAAAAAATTAAAAAGACTGCGTCCTGAATATTTATCACTCATGATATGTAATACAGTCGTCTAAATTCCTTCAAAAAATTCATATAACATATTATATTATTGTGTAGTATTATATTATGTTATTTTGTGTTATATTATATATTGTTATATTGTATTGTGTTATATTATATTATTTGATGGGTAATATTCATTGCTGATTAATGTGTTTTGTATAGATAAAACAAAATTGTATTAAGTATTAAAAAATCTATAAAAAGAATAATGAAGAGGAGGATGGTTGGAGTGATCATACTTTCATTCACTTTATTTTTCATATCTCCTTCTCCACTTTGTATATATTGATACATTTACTAATTGATTTTGTTATTTTATTTTAATTCTTTATTCTCTTATACGTAGTCAGTATACTTTGATAGACTTTTCTATTAATATTTATTTCTTATATAACTTCATATTCCTTTTCTCTGTTTTACAATTTATTCTAAGATTACCATTTTTATTTCTTATATTACCTTATTTTGATTATGTTTACTTCATTAGTTCACACTTTTTAGCCGTTATTATTATTTATTTCTTAGCTATTGTTATTATTCTATCTACTTTATTTTACTTTAATGTTCACTTATCTACTTCATTTTACTTCTAGTTTTTCCAACTATACTGTTTATGTTTCTCATACCTATCGTTATCTGTTTCTTTTCTCAGCCCTAATGAAGGTCTGAACTTCGAGTCGAAACATTAG